ATTAAAACTTTAAAGTGTTATAATTTCGTAAATAATTAAAATAGGACATATGTTCATTAACATTTTTTTTTGTAATTGGATTAGCTATCATATGTCAAAGTTTGATGGTGAGCTGATAAATCACCCTGTATAAATCAATAAATGGCTAAGGTATAGATTACCTTCAATAATTTCAGTGATTTGTCATATACAGATAAAATTTGGTATACTGTGAAATTTTATAATGAGGAATCTGATAAGATCGGCATCCACCAACATCCCTTTTCGAGAAAATATATAATTTTAACTAACAATCGATAATAATGAAATACTAGTAATAACAGCTATGTTCCAAAAAGCGGCCCCGACTCGTATTCAAAAAATGCATTCAACTAAGAATAAAATCAACTTCGCTGATTGTCGGGGAATTACCCGACAATCGGACAGTCCTAGTCGCCATCGGCGTGGCGCGCTAGCCCGATCGAGTACACATGGAGCGGTGTTGCCGCATTAGGCGTGTACACGAGCGAATCTCGTTTCGAATTTTTCGCTAGCTAGGTAGGCCTCTTAATATTAATTTTAAACATAAAGTTATGATCACTTCTGTTTTTTGTTCAACTTTTTATTGTTGTTATGTTTCTAGTTCTAGGCCTAATGTTAGTTCTAGTGACAGTGGTAGGTAGCGCTAGCTATATCATTATATGTCATTATCACTATGTTGCATATTTTTATTAAACTAAAACTAACACTAGATCTAGAATTAGAAATATTCTCTAAATGTTGATAATTGCGAAACATTCGCATATTGTGAGCAACAGTTATTGCAGTTTGAAAGTTGTTATCATTTTAGGTGATGCGTTTTTTAATGCCGCTAAGTGTATTAATTAAAATAATGTTTTGTAGTTTCAAGAGAAAGAAAAAAGGCGTTACCAAGCTGAACAACAACGATTTGAATTAAAACATCAACGACAACTCGAAGAACTCCGAGCGATGAACGAAGCTACAATAAAAGAATTGGAACAGCTTCAAAACGAGAAACGAAAAATGTTGATGGAACACGAAACGTTAAAACTAAAACAACGCGAAGAGGCGTTTACAAAAGAATTGCGCGAATGGAAGGCGCAATTAAAACCACGAAAAATGGTAAAAAATTATTTATTTATTTTTACTTTTAACTATCTTTCTCACGTTAACACATCTATTTTTATTTTTTTAATATCTCATTTATTAAAATCGCGCTTATTTTGGTTTTTTTTTCTGTTTTAATCAATTAAATAATTAATTAAAAAAATTAAAAAAGAATTTGTGGAAGAGAAACAGCAAGACACAAAATTTTTTTTTGTTGAATAAAAAGAAGAAGATGTAATCGAAATCAAAACTTGTAATTATAGCGTGTTGAAGAGGAGTTACGAAAAGAATTTTTGTCGGCGGAGTGTAACCGATTTTTACCTCCATTCGTTTTGCGCGGCCCCGCGCCTGGCGAATCTAGTTGTACGGAAACGAGCGACGAACAACCGTCCTCGCACTCATCAACCCCCAACACTCCGTGCTTATCCGAGGCGGTACGGCTTAGTTGGGGACATCAGCGATCTTGGAGCACTAGCATTATCGTCGATAGGGATCCGACTTCTAGCAGTTATTATCCCGTTTACCGAGATTCCAATGCTTAATAGTCATTTATATTATTTTTTTTGTGTCATTTGTCTTATTATTTTTTAACTCTACGTTAATCGTGTATGTATTCAATAGATATACCGGAAATTTCATATATAGTAGAAACCACGAGAGCTGGCAGTGACAGATCGCTTAAAAATGGTATGAATCAAGATATGGACGTACGACTTAGATTGTTTCACCACATACATTTAAATGTAG